CACATCTAAAAATCTTACTGGGAAAGACTGCAAAGCTTTTGAGACTATAAATAGGCCTGTTTTGTTTTTGTTCAGTTTAAGTAGGTTCAACATACTCAACATAGGAATATTTCTGCAGAATTTTCTGAAATAAATTTTCGTATCATAATTTAAATTTGTAGCCAAGGGTCCTCAAATTTTAAACATAAGCTTCATCTTGGGATGGTACTTGATACATCTGAGACGTAGTCCAATAGTAGGAAAGAGATGTCTTATTCATGTTGGCGGAAGGTGATAAAAACTCATAAAAACAGATCTCATCAACATCATAGGAGAGAAATGTTCATTATATAACATAGGATATCATTACTTGAATGTTCTCAGGGAGGCATGTCAGAAGGCCTAGGTTCTAATCCTGGCTCCATCATTTACCAACTGTGTGACCTTACCTCACCTCTGAGCCTTTTTCTCCTCACTAGTAATAGAAAAATAACAGCTACTCTGCCTACCTCACAGGGATGTTGTGAGGGTTTAATTGGTATATGAGAAAGTTCTTTCAAAATTGTAAAATGCTATATAAGTACAAGGAATTATTATTAATGTATTTGTTCCAAGGTGTTATTAATAAAAATTTGAGCTTAACATATAATCTTTCATCTTTTGACTTAAGGAATTCAAGACAGGTAAACAAGGCCCAATAACTTGGAGGTCCAAAGAACTATTAAGATCTGTTTAATGGATAAAATTATTATATATTAGGGAATTGCTTATTTTATTTAGAATTAACACATGGTTCATCATAATTAAACAAAATGAAAATGAATGGGTGAGGAGACAACAATTCGCATAATGGCTATGTCGCTGGACTCCCATGTAGTCAACCGTGGTTCAAGTCCTGGACCCGGTGGCTTAAACTCATGCTGGGCCCGTGTACGTGCATGCCCAAGATCCCAAGAGGAGAATGGAGGAGAAGGGATTGTGGCATGGCCATCCCCCCGGGGAGTGATTTCTCGCTTTCTGTTTCTCTATCTGTCTTTCTGGCAAGTGCACGTACCCTACAGCAAAAACTTCTCTAGGGACCAGCAGTTAGTGTAATGGCTATGGCGCTGAACTCCCATGTAGTTGACTGCGGTTCAAGCCCCAGACCTGGTGGCTAAAACTCACGCTGGGCGCATGTGCATGCGTGCCCAAGATCCCGAGAGGAGAATGGAGGAGAAGGGATTGCGGCGTGGCCATCCCCCCTGGGGGGTGATTTCTCGCTTTCTCTTTCTTTCTGGTGAGTGCACATACCCTTTAGCAAAAATCTCTCCAAAAAAAAAAGAAAAGAAAAGAGAAAATGAGTGAAAGAAAATTGCATTTAAATCTTTTAAAAACAGCATGATCTGTGTCTTTGGTGGGAATTCGTGGATATAATTGAAGTTAAGATCTCAGTGTTCATTCACTTAATAGGTCATAATTATGAAGTTTGCTCTTTCACAAGACTACTTTATCTTACAGATCTCCCTTCTCCAATTACTTCTAGCCAAATTTAGTTTAAAGAATGACTTAAAGGGCCAGCAAGTGCCATAGTGGTTAAGGCACTGGGCTCCCATGTCATCAACCATGGTTCAGTCCATGTTCAAGTTCACCTGACAGCTTGAAACTCACACCAGGTTCATGTGAATGCATGCCCAAAATCCAAAGAGTAGAAGGGATTATGGCGCGGCCATGCCCCTCTGGGGCGGGGGTGATTTTTCACTTTCTGTCTCTGTCTCTCCAGTGAGTGTATGCACTTTGTAACAAAAATCCCTTAAAAAAAAAGAATGACTTAAAGCAGCTCTTGGCCTCTAGCTTCTAGACAGAATCTTTTTAAAAAGATGTACTGATGATGAATGGGGTGACAACACTGTCATCTCAAGTTCTCCCTTTACAGTAAGTAGGAAACAAGTGTCTAGGATCTAAATATAATACTGGAATACAACCAATGTGAATGGAGAATGGAAGGTGTGATATGCACTATGGTCTAAGGAATCCAAAATGAAGAGAAGTACTTAAGAGGTAGGAAAGAAAACAGTGGCCAGCTGCAGAGTGCAGCCGAAACCGATGTCCCACAATGCTAAAACCACATGGGAAGGTTCCAGATTATTGTCTCAAGGTCTTTCTGTACATGCTGGGTACATGTGTCTGTGTTTCTGGCTGACTGGGGATGCATTATAGCATGACTACCCTGTTGGGAGTGCCTCTGCCCTCCCACCTCACTCTCTCCCAGAACAAATAAGCTTTAAAAGTGGGAGGCAGGGTGAGAGACAATAGTTTGAACAACAGGTACAGAGCAGAGTGTATAGTCATGAATATGCTTTTAATGTGTTAAGTAGCTCTAAATTGAAGGAAACTGGTCTTATTGAGGTTTGTTCTAGAGAGTAAAACTGGTAGCAAGGTGAATCAGGTAGGAAGGTGTCTTTACATTGTGTACTCCTTCTCGATCATGTGCAAACCCATGCTGAAAGGAAGTTTTATTTATTTATTTTGGAGAGGTTTTTGCCATAGGGCACGTGAGCTCACCGGACAGAGAGACAGAGAGACAGAAAGCAAGAAATCACCCCCACACACAGGGGGGATGGCCATGCCGCAATCCCTCCTCCTCCATTCTCCTCTCGGGATCTTGGGCATGTATGCACACGTGCCTGGCATGAGTTTTAAGCCGAGTCCAGGACTTAAACCATGGTCGACTACATGGGAGTCCAGCGACATAGCCATTACACTAACTGTTAGTCCCATGAAGGGAAATTTTAGACATGAAAAAGAAAGAGAGCCAGAGGTGATGGTGCACACCTGTCATACCAGCTACTCAGGAGGCTGAGGCAGGAGGATAATGAGTATGAGGCCAGCCTGGACAACAGCAAGACCCTGTTTCTTAAAAAACAAAAAAAAAATCCTCACTTGTGAAAGAAGAAAAGTGAGAATTCAACTTCCAGAGATGGCTATGCAGCAATCCCTTCACTCCCCTCTGAAGATTTTGGACACACATGCATATGTGCCCAGCATATTTTTCAAGCCACTGGCTCTGGGACTTAAACCACATAGTTGACCATGCAGGATCGAGCTGCCATAACCTCCATGCCACCTGCTAGCCCTTGAAACATGCTACATTTTTAAATTAACTTAAAACTTGGGAACAGTATTTAAAATCTAAGAAAAAAACATGAGTTTTCAAAATTTTTGTTTAAAAGAGCCATCAGTATTTTCTTTTGCTATTCTCTCTAGCACTGCACAAAAAAATCCTAATCTAGAAGAAGCATGTCAGGGAGGGAGGCACAATGAAAAAGCATCAGCCTTGAAGCCAGACAAACTTGAATCCCTGCTATTATCTGCTAGCTCTGTGATCCTGGCAATCTAACTTTCTTCACTCATTAAAGGTGATATATATCATCTTGCCTGTGAAATGCCCAGCACAAAATTTCTGTTTAAACATGGCTTTTTCAAATCATGTACACCCCTTCTGTCTCCTGAAACTCCATTAAAATGACAGGAAAGATATAGGAAGGGAAAATCAAAAGGACAATAGAAGATTCAGAGTAGCATTAGATTCTCAACAATGACCATTAGTTAAACAGTGCCTTCAAGTCTGAGAAAGTGGTATCCAGGTTAAAGGTCTATATGTAGCCAAACTAGCAATCAAGTATAAAAATTGAATTAGGAATTTTCCAACATATATGGTCTAAAAGATCTTGCCTTCCAAGCATTTTCTCTCAGGAAGCTAGTGGAGTCTTATGTTCTACAAAAAGAGTAGACCAAGAAAGGGGAGAGGAAATAAGGGTCTAACACAGGAGGTAAAAGGAATCCCCCAAGGGGGTTACAAGAAATCCCAGAGCAAAAACTATAGCAAATCTAGAGGGCAGCCAGTACAAAGGACTCCAGCAGGGATATCTCCAGTAAAAATTACCAGATTATCTGATATGTTTGAATATATTGAGACATTTATACTTCTGGTAGAGGTATACAGAAAAAGAGAAAACAGTTTTTAAAAAATTATTAATCACTCCAAAGATAAGGCTGTATAAGTAAATAGATACTACATAACTCATCTGTGAATACTATTTAGAATCAAAATGTAGACTTCTGATCCAATCTATATGACAAAAACATATTAAAAGAATAAAAAAGTAGTATATGCAGGACAGAGGCTGAAGAGAATTGTATCTTCCATAGTATAAGCTAGATGACATATGGCCAACCACAGTTTGAATCCCAGCCCTAGTGATTCAAGAAACACACCAGGCAAAAAAAAAAAAAAAAAAAAAGAAGAAGAAGAAGAAGAAAAAACACCACAGGCATATGTGCATGCATGCCCAAAATCCTGACAGGGATGGAGAAATGGAAAAGGGATGGAAGGGATTGTGGTGCAACCACACTCTTATTAGGGGATTCATTCATTCTCTCTCTCTCTCTCTCTCTCTCTCTCTCTCTCTCTCTCTCTCCCACACACACACACACACACACACACACACACACACACACTTTCTGACCCCCTCTGGCCAGTATATATGCCCTCTGGCAAAAAAAAAAAAAAGCATGTTACTTAGAATCATAGAGGCAAGCAAGTACTAGAAAAAACTTGTGTTGAAAGCAGTCATCTCTGGGGAGAATCACAAATGGGAGAAATGGGCTGGAGCTTATTTTTTGTTATAATGTCTTGACTTTTTAAATTATGATCATATATAAAAATTTTAAATAAAGCATTTGTACAATGTCTACCATAAGGAATACCCTTGATAAAGAGTAGCATGTATCTAGTCCTCCGACCTTTCCACTACTGCAGCCCCACTTTTTGCACTCAGAAATGTAGATATCTGATCCCTCGTATAATATTCTATTTTCACCCTTCCTAACAAAGTATGACAGGAAAAATATTCCAGTTTCAATGGATAATTTTATTGTTTAATAGATCATAAATGCCATCTTTCTATCTACAATTGGAATTTCATCTTTTATCCATGCTGAAGTGAAACAATGACAAAGCTAATCAGAATAAGCTACTTGAAAGAGAAAACTAAGCAAAAACAGCTCACTTTTTTTAAACAGGCAGAATATAAATATATGCACTCCAGAATGCACAGTGGTGTAGTCACTAAGAAATTCAAATGAGATCTTGAAGAATGTAGGCAAATCCAGGATGCAGTAAAGATGAGCTGAGAAGCTGTGCAACTGTTAAAGGGTTCCTGCCGCTGCATCTATTGGCCACTAGCTGAATCTTGACGTAGGGGAAGATCTTAGCTAATGCCAAGTGGAGATGCGGAAAATGCTAAGTTGACTTACGGCCTGGCCCGTGCACAGGAACTAAAAGGCAGGAAAGTATTAAACATTGCTCAGAGCATCCACCCCGGGAAGGACTTTACCTGTTTTTGAGAGAGCACACACACACAAACATACACACATGCAGATAGCATTACTATAGAGACCACTAAGCCAAATCTGACCCCTTCTATCTTCCTAATAATATGTCAGCTCTGCTTTAGGTCATATGGTCAGGAGTTGGACAACTTTTGTGGTTGGGGGCCCAGGTCTACTAGAATGTGACCTCTTTGAGAATAAGCTCCTATTTATCCCTCCCTTCCACCAACAGATTCCAGATTTATTTGAAAAGTCCCTCCATTGGTACTGCCCAACTAATAACAACTACTAATGACAATACGACCTACTAGCTTTCTCCCCTGCATCCTACCCATCTCTCACTGCACAATTCCCATCCTTCCCCCAAACAAGCCCAAATATAAGAACCTCACCTTCCAGGAGCTCCAAACTGGCACCACCCCCAGTGCTCACATGGCTGACTTTATCCTCTGTGTTCCATTTGGCACAGCAAGTGGCAGTGTCTCCACCACCTTTGAATGAAAGTCAGGTAAAAAGGGAAGAAAGAGAAAAGAAAAAAAAATTGGCACACTGTAAGGCAATGTGTTCTCCAACCCAAATGAACCTAACTCCATCTCATTAAGGGGTTCCTCCATGAATTATACACCTGTTACCTTTCAAAATTTACCCAGAGCCAGGAGACCCAGGAGAAGTTAACCATTTCCCTTGCACCTTCCTCTGATCGATTTTGCCAGCTCACACTGGTATTAGCCTGTACAGGGCCCCTTACCTATGATGGTGATACAGCCCCTGGAAGTGGCTTTCACCACCTCATCCATGAGGGCTTTGGTTCCTCTGGCAAAAGCTTCCCATTCAAATACTCCCACTGGTCCATTCCATACAATCTGCTTAGCCCGACCAACAGCCTCAGCATATTTCTTGCTGCTCTCAGGACCACAGTCTAAGCCCTGAGGGATAGGTAAAGACAGGATTAGCTACTTTTAAAAAAAAGCTACTTAGAAGAGCAAATACTACCACCACCCAGACCAAAACTCAAGGCTGGACACCAGTTTTTGTCTATAACTGAAAGGTATTCTTCAGTCTTTAAAATGAACTGTTTATGTCCTCAGACTCAAAAATTTTACTTTACAGAAGAGCAAGTTAAAGGAAAACCTCAAAAGTTATTAAATAAAGGCATTAATAAGGTTATTTAATAAAGGCCACACTATTTATGATAGTAAAAAATCAGATTAGTGTTTCTCAACCAGGGTCAGTTCTGCTCCTACAGGGACATGTGGCAATGTCTGGAGACATTTTTGGTTGTCACACTCAGGTCCAGAGAGGGATGCTACTGGCCAGGAATGCTTTAAAAATCGTTCACTGCAACAGCCATACACACACACACACACACACACACACACACACACACACACAACGATAACTATATGAAGTATCAACAGTGCTGAGATTGAGAAATACTGAACTGTATGAGATTGGTAGTTCATAAACTTTGGTGTGCATCAGAATCAGGAAGAGGGCTTCTTCAAACACAAATTGCTGGGCCTCACCCCCAAGTGCTTCTAATTCAGTAAGTCTGGGGTGGGCCCAAGAACTTGTATTTTTTTAACAAGTTCTAAAAATGATGCTGATACTTCTGGTCTTAGTATCACACTTTAAGAAACACCAAACACCAAATGCCTAACAAAAGAAAAATAAATAATGACTAACATGTCAACATTACACAACTTTGTACAACCATCAAAATGATGTGGCAAACACTATGATTCACTATATTAATCTGACATGCACATACATTTTTCTCTGATTATAATCAGTATACCTCTATCTTAATTTTTTCATATAAGAAAGCTTTTTTACACCAGTTTCTAGGTAGCAGCATAACCCAGAACAGCCCAAACCATGAAAATACATAGCACCATCTCTAGCACATGAGTACAGATGATCCTTAACTTATGATAGGGTCCAAAATGCATTCAATCAGATACTCCTAACTTATGATACAGTTTCTACTGAATGTCTATTACTTTCACACCAGCATAACATCTAAAAACTGGGGACCAGCAGGTGGTGTGGTAGTTTAAGTGCTGGACTCCCACATGGTCAACCAGCAGTTTGAGCCCCAGACCTGACAGGGTTCGAAAGTCAAGTCACATGGGGTATGTGTGTGTGTGCCCAAAATCCCAAGAGGAGCATGGAGGAGAAGGGATTGCCATGTGGCCATCACCTGTGAGGGGTTCTTACTTTCCCTTTCTCTGTCTCTCTTTCTCTAGCAAGTGCACCCACCCTATGGCAAAAAACTAAAAAAAAAGTTGAGGGACCAGCAGATGGTGTAATGGTTACATCACTGGACTCCCATATGGCGGACTAAGGTTCAAGTCCAAGCCCCAGCAGCTTGAAAATCACGCCAGGCATGTGTGCATGAGTGCCCAAAATCCTGAGAGGAGAATGGAAGAGAAGGGATTGTGGTATGGCCATTCCCCCTGGGAGGAGGGGGGGGGATTTCTTGCTTTCTCTTTCTCTCTGTTTCTCTCTCCCCCAGCAAGCACACGCACCCTATAACAAAAATTCCTCCAAAAAAAAAGAAAACTCTCTTAAGTCAAAACATCATAAATCAGAGTCAGACATTAAATAGATGAAGAAACAAAAAAGTGGATTTGCCATCACATTACTGATGAAGAGGGCAGTATTCTGATATGACTACCTTTGCCCCATGGATCCTCCCACAAAGAGGACCTCACTGCAGCCTTTTCTAACAGAATTCTCTTATATAGATTGTTTTTTAAAATGTTTTTGGTTGGCTAAATGAAAGAATGGACGGATGATACTAAAATATTTCTGTTCACTCATAACACCAACAACCCAAGTGACTTACCATCCAGCCAGCAGGTATGCCAGAAGCCACGGTGGCTTGGCCAGTCTTGGCATTCTCATCAAACTTGTCAGCAGTGACAAAGTCAACAGGCAAGGTAATCTTTACACCGTTTTTCTCAGCTTTGGTCATTAAGTCTTTGACTATCTTGGCTCCCTCTTCATCAAACAGAGAAGTGCCAATCTACGAAAGAGAGCCAAGATGATAGAGATCAACCTCTACATTAAGAAGAGCCTATACACTGCTCACAAAGCAGGTGGGAAACAGACACAATACAACATAAGGGGATGATGCAAAAGTAAAAGAAAAAATAATTTGCCAAAAAATAAAAATAGAATGTTTTAGAACTGATGTCAGAAGTTCTTTTTAAATTCACATAACCCACTATTAACATAACCTATGTCACATCCACTTAGCATTGTTTTCCTACCTCCATGTTGTTGAGCACCTTAAGGAATGTAAAAGCCATTCCACCACCAATGATCATCTCATTGACTTTGTCCAGCATATTATTGATCAGCTGGATCTTGTCTGCAACTTTAGCCCTAGATAGAGAAAAGCAAGAATCATCACCAGAAGAACAATGAACTAGGAAATTGATGACATACAGAATTTGAGCTTTTATATCAAGGTACAGGAACAGAGAAATGTCCCAAAGTGACAAAAATATTAACTAACTTTGCCCTTTTTCTCCAACCTAAAAGGCCAATTCAATTTTAAAAATCCTTTTTAAGTATGACTACAGACCACGAACAGCTTAGAAGACCAATTCTTGTCTAAAGAAACTATGGGTTCCAACTAGGTCTACTTTGCCACCACCACTCCCCACAAAATTCAGAAGATCAAGAACAAAATTGCTCTTAGGAGATCCCTGAGTCCACTCATACTCAGAACTGTCCTATCCCTAAAGCAAGCAAAAAATTGTACACCAAATAAATATATACTGAACAAAAATAGATTATTCCTAGTCTAAATTCACACACTATGATTAGTTGCTGGGATATTTGCTTTATGGCAAATTATTTTTTGGCTGGATCACCTGATTCAACATGTTTTTTTGGTAGCTACTCTGTGCAAAGTACTAGTTTAGGTCTTCAAGAAACATCTGTGAGCGGGACCAACATGCTGCATAATGATTATGTTGCTGAACTTCCATGTAGTCGACCATGGTTCAAGTCCCAGACCCAGCAGCTTAAACCTCATGCTGGGTGTATATGCATGCATGCCCAAGAGGAGAATGGAGAAGAAGGGGTTGCAGTGTAGTCATCCCCCCAGGAGGTGCTTTCTCACTTTCTATCTCTCTGTCTCTGGTGAGTGCATGTGCCCTATAACAAAAAATCCCTCTCAAAAAAAAAAAAAAAAGAAAGAAAGCAAAAGAAGAAAAAATCTGTGAGCAAAACAAAGATCCCTATTTAAATTTATTTATTTATTTATTTATTCCATGAGCAAGAAATATAGGCAGGCAGGCAGTACCCCTAACAGTATCTTGACTCTGTGACCTATACCCAGCCAGCCCTTGATCATAGTATATACATGCCCAATATATTCAGGAAGGTCTCCAAATGTGGACCCAGAACCATACCGTGTAGGTCAGCCTCTCAGAGCATCACATTTTACCACTGCTACACCATTTGGCCCTATATCCCTATCCTTTTGGAGCTTATTTTCTAGTAAAGAGAAATAAAATAATACATACATCTGTACTTTCACCTCCTTGTGAGAGAAAAAAGATCCAAACTAAAAAGAAAAACAAGTAATAGCTGGCCTTCTATAAACATTACTATATATCTAAATCCCACTTGCATGTACAAATCACCTTGGGTCCATTTCCCTCTTCATTCAATAATCAAGAGGATCCCTACCCTGTGAATGACACAATACTGGGATTTGTGAATTTAAGGTACAAAATAATAGTGATGTGTGGGAATAGATGGCAAGAGACTGTTTATTTCATTTGTAAAGACTGGGTCTTCAAGGTCCAGAATAAATTATTTCCTTTAAATAACTGTTCAGTCACGGTAGTATAATCAGTAGGACACAGCTGATCAAGGCCGGAGCCACATGGGAGACCCAGATTGAGATCCCAGACCAATCTGATCTCAGACCAGGCCAGGTACAACAGCACATGCCTGTATCCTAACTGGAAGGCTAGGACAGGAGGATTTTAACACAGTAAGACCCTTTCAAAACCTCTCTTTCTCTCCCTCTGTCATTCCTTCTCCTTCTCCCTATGTACACATACACATACATACATACACAGAATAAACAGAATAAGAGGAATAGAGGTACAACCTCATCTAAAGAATATGGGATAATCTATAACTCAAATGCCTGTTTCTTCAACAAATCAATAGAATTAAAATAAGAAGGAACAATTTTAGAATAAAGAGTTCTTAACAACCAAATGTTATCCATGGATTTCATTCGGATCCTTATTCAAACAAACCAACTATACATCGACATTCCTGAGATGATCAAAAACATCTAAATACAGAGTATTAGATGATAGCAACAGCAATGTTAAAATTTTGTAAGGTAGAGAGGGCCAGCAGGTGGCATGGAAGTTAAGGTGTCTGGATCCCACATGGCCAACTGCATGGTTCAAGTCCTGGACTCAGCAGTTTTAAAAATATGCCAGAAGCATGTGTATGCGTGCCCAAAATCTCAAGAAGAGAATGGAAGAGAAGGGACTGCAGCGTGGCCATTCCCTCCAGGGGGGAATGACTTCTCTCTCTCTCTCTCTCTCTCTCTCTCACACACACACACACACACACACACACACACACACACACACACACACACACACCCTATACCAAAACCTAAAAAGAAAAAAGTCAGGTAAAATATGGTAGTTGTTTAACGTGTTATCTCCTTATCAGCTACAAGATAAATACATAAATATTTAAGTGAAAGTATATGATGTCTGAGGCTTGCTTTAAAATACCCCTGACAAAAAAGGGTTCGAATATAGATGAATCAAGACTGTCACAAATATCAGTTAATTGTTGAAGTAGGGTACCTGGGAGATTATAATATTCCTCAACTTCTATACATGTTTGTTTCCAAAATAGTTTTTTTAAATAAAATTTTCCCCAAAATTTTTAACAGCCTAAGGAAATAACACAACAAGAAAGGTGGTGGAAAACCTCCACATCAGCTTCCCTGAAACAGCTATGCCAGGCTGATTCTGAAAGCCTAAACATAACCACTAGGTGGCACTCATGCCCATAGTCCAGGTCTACAAAAAAAAAATTAGAGAACAGGGGCCAACTAGTGGCCTAAAGGTTAAAAGGCAGTTTGATCTGACATGGCCAAGTGAGCAGTTAGAGTCCCAGACCGGGCAGCTTGAAAAACAAGCTAGACATGTGTGTGCACATGCACACTCAAAACCCGAGTGAAGAGAGAATGGTATGGCCATCCATCCCCCATGGGGAGTGCTTTCTTCCTTTTTCTCTTGTACACACACGTGTGTGCACAACTCTTTCTATCCAACATGCCCTATAGCAGACTTTTTTTAAACTGAAGAACTAAATAGCTCAAATCCTAATCTCTAGGGGAATAAAGATCAACATCTGTCTGACCTTTATGGCCCAATGTACATGAGGGACAATACTTCCAGGAACATACTTTTTTGCAAGAACAAGACACAATGACCTCTATTCACCTGAATTATTATTTTTAATGAATTTATTTAATTTTATTTATTGTTGTTATTGTTATTTTTTAATTTGCTATAGGGCACATGTGCTCACCATAGAGAGACAGAGAAAGAGGGAAAGTGAGAAAGCAAGTCGCCAGGTTCGGGACTCAAACCACAGTCGGCAATGTGGGAGTCCAGTGCCTCAACCACCACACCACCTGCTGGTCCCTCCACCTGAATTATTTTTAGAACCCTAAAACTGGGTTCATGAAGCCTGGAAAGCAACTATGCTCTCTGAAACTGTCACCCAACTCCAGAGTCAATTCTCATGGGGAAATGCTGAATGTTTTCAGTTCCATGGAGAGAAAAAAAACATTTAAAAACCTACTCAAAGAAGGGTCATGGTTCCCTATCCACACAGACAGATGTAGCTACCTACATAGCCATGCCAAATGACAGGTTATCTTATGTAAGCAGTCCCAGCTCCCTGTGCCTACTTTATCATCTAATATTGACCTTCCTCTCAACTCTCAATTCTGAAATTTCTATTTTTAACTAAGCTATTAGAATAGCATCATCCACATGATACCTTTCCTTTAAGGAGAAAAGAAAATATAAAATAGGTAGGTATGTGATCTGGAGAAATGAGGTCTACATGATACATTAAACAATATGAGGAGGTACTCATACCCTGCCAGGTTGTACAAGGAATCTTTAAAAAGTTGATGGAACGTGTATTATCAAAAACTTATGGGACCAGCAGATGGCATAATGGTCGCATCTTTGGACTCCCACGTAGTAGACCGCAGTTCAAGTCATGGACCTGGCGGCTTAAAACTCACACTGGGCATGTGTGCATGCATGCCCAAAATCCCGAGGGGAGAATGGAGGAGAGGGGAATGTGGCATGGCCATCACCCCGGGGGGCGGGTGATTTCTCGCTTTCTCTCTGTCTCTCTCTGTCTCTCTGGAGCACATGTGCCCTATAGCAAAAATCTCTCTTAAAAAACAAACAAATACTTATACATGGATGACAGAATTTTTTTCACCAAATAAACTCATACTTTAATTCCATTTTACCATGTTTTTGAAGCTACCTCATATGTATGTGAAAGGTTCAAGTGCTTCAAAATTGCTAAGATGGAGCACCTAATAGTGATCTTCCCATTCTTCCCATCAGAACCATTTTCTAGCCTTCTCCACCCTCCAGGTGGGTTTCAGCCAAGTAGGAGTGGGGGTGTGGGGTTTAGCAAGAGATTTAAAGGATACCAGAGTATTTATTTCTCTGGCTCCCTCCCTGCCAGATGACAATTCCTGTGTCCCTTGACCAAAAGTATAGTTTCCATCAGAGGGCTTTCTTCACACAACTACCTTTTGTCTCTTCAGGCCTAGGGAATGGTGATGGCTGTGTACTGTCCCTTTTTGACTTCCCTTAATCCTACCCTCACCTTTGTAGACAGTCTCTTGTCTAAATTCTCCTCAGTTACCCAGTGTGATTATACTATCTGACAATAAACCACCCAAGTTATGGCCTATGACCAGGCAAACAGTACTTAAAGCATAATCTTGTAGACTTCTTCATACCCGCCCAGGATGGCCAAGAAGGGTCTCTCTGGGCTCTCCAAGGCTTTGGCAAAGTAGTTCAGCTCCTTCTTCATCAAAAAACCACCAGCCTTCTGTGGCAGATTGACTCCTACCATGGAACTAGAAAAGACCAAACACATTCAAATTCTAGTCAATCCCTAGTATTTCTCCCAGTCCTAGAAGCAATCTCATCACTTAGATATTTTGGCTTCTGAAACTACAGAAGACCATCATTTTCATCCCTAAATTGCAACTAAAAACAGGTATAAGATAAGGTTTTTGGACTAATAATGCAGGCTCAAGGGGAAATAAAAAACAGCAATCTTAGGTGGAATTTAAGACAACCAATTAATGGTCTTCAACAGGCCAGTGGCTTAATCACAGTAAGTAATTGGCCAGGTAATGACAATTTGCTTCCTGCTAACAACATAAGATTCTGATCTAATAGTCACAGAGAGCACCTGAAATATCCAAAGTGAAAAAGAATAACCTCCTCCTGAAGTTCTACAAAAAAACTCTACAATTCCCACCATTGTTTTTACATTTATTTTCTCTTCATAGAAGGGATACGCAATACCAGTCACAACAGATAGAAGCTGAAAAGACCATAGTACAATATAGAAATCTCCAAAAGCAACCTAGAGCTTGGACCTCTCAAGTAAACGGGTCTATTGTTCTCAGCCTAGTATCTGACAAGAAGATTCTTGGTACCTGTGGGCTCGGTGAGCAGTGCCAAAAGCATCATTGACATAGATATCCCCTAGCTTGGAAAGTGATGCTCGGAAAGCTTCTATTTTAGCTGGTTCAGCTTTAACCTGCAGAGAAGAAAAAAACAACAAAAAAAAATAGAAAAACCAACAAGAAATGTTGATGGCTTCAAAGATAATTGTACACCAGAAGTCCTCTTGAACATCTCTAAAGATCCTGAGTTGCTGGTAGTACAGCAATTTTTTAAGAGATATTTTTGCTAAAGGGCACATGCACTCACCTGAGAGACAGAAAGCAAAAAATCACCTCCCAGGGGGATGGCCACACAGTAATCCCCTCTCCTGTACTCTACCCCTGGGGTTCTGGGGCACATATGCACATGTGTCTGGCTTGAGTTTCAAGCTGCCGGGTCCAAGACTCAAACCACGGTAGGCCACATGGTAGTCCAGAGCTTTAACCACTACGCAACCTGCTGGCCCAGTACAGCAATTTTTTTTTAATAATTAACAAGCTATGTTCTTTTGTCCAAATATCCTATAGTCATTTTCTTTTTTCTTTTCTTTTTTTTTTTTTTTAAGTTTTTGCTATAGGGATGTATACTCCCTGACAGAGAAGGAGGGTGGGAGTGAAAAATCACACACACATACACCCATGGAGGTGGCCACACAGAAATCCCTTCTCCTCTAGTCTCCTCTTGGGATTTTGGGCACACATGCATACATCCCTGGTGTGATTTTTCAAGCCACTGGGTCTAGGACTCAAACCATGTAGTCAGCCATGTGGGATCTAGTCACCTTAACCTCCACACCACCTGGATCATTTCTGTATGTTTCTGCTCTCCCTCACCTTCCCTTAAACTGCAATCCTAATATATTCCTGAACCATGGATTAACCTATATTCACATGAAACTAAATATATCCCATTGGCCTCTTTCCAACCTCTAGGCCAAGATTCTGATTATCCTTCCCTCATCTTATCTTGACTCATTTCCCCATTTTAACATATTCTCATGAAAGTTGAGAACAGAGAAAGCAAATGGAAACACAACATAAAAAGACCTCAGAAATATTTTATATTGGTTAATAAGAACATTATTATATAGCCTGCCCTGGAAGTTAGACATCTGAGAAAACAAGAAATACATTTTTATAAAGAGAAGGAAAAAGCATGTGAAACAGGGCTTTGTTTCATCAGCTTACCACTTCAGGATCCCCCAAAAGGGACAGAATAGAATGCAGGGTGGTAGAATGAGCAGAACAAAGTTTCTGCAGGAGACTAAGGAAAGATGCTCAGAAAGCAAACCAGATGAAGGAGAACATGGCACAAAAGAGTACATAGCACTGAGCAGGTATTCATTTTAATTACTGCCCACTCCCATCTTCAAGGAGGTGAAGGAGGCTGCCAACCCAACAGACTTGATTTTAATGCCCTAAAGAATTACAGAGGGGGAACCAGCAGTTAGCGTAATGGCTATGTCGCTGGACTCCCACGTAGTCGACCGTGGTTCGCGTCCCATACCCAGTGGCTTAAAACTCACACCAGGCGCGTGTGTGTGCGTGCCCAAGATCCCGAGAGGAGAATGGAGGAGAAGGGACTGCAGCGTGACCATCCCCCCTGGGGGGTGATTTCTCGCTTTCTGTCTCTATGTCTCTCTCTGTCTGTCTGGCAAGCGCACGCATCCTATAGCGAAAACCTCTCCAAAAAAAAAAAAAAAGAATTACAGAAGAATTAAGGCTAAAGTAAAAGTGGAACCCCCATTACCACTCTAGAATGGAAGATCCTGTGACTGGAGACTAGAAGATGATAGATGAATAACATTGCCCAAATGTCAGGAGACCTGGGATCTAGGCCCAGCTCTGACACTAATTCACTGTGGAACATTTGAGAATTTGCTCTCTGTCCCTGAAATTCTCTCATCTTTCAAAAAGTCATGATAACACCCATATTTAAGATTGTTTAAAGAAACTTGAGGTAAATTTGAAAGCTCTTTATAAAGAAGATGCTATAAACAATAATAATCACAACATTTTTCTCTTTTTGATCTGCCAATAACTATTAGAGAATACTCCTAAAACATCACTGTGGGTACACTGGATAAAGGAAAAACTTTATGTCCTCATTTTGTTTACCCATTTTGAACTTATGACTAGCTCTGGAAATTTCAGATATCGAAAGCCATTAGAGTATGACTATTAAGTCGATTAACTAAAAACGTCATAGACTAGCAGAGTCAGTTCATCATTTGGCAGAATAAAAGACTTTTCCTCCATTTTGTGGTTGCCTCCTGCCATTTCTGAGTCCTAAAGTTGTACATCTTTGGTTTCAGATTTAAAGGGCACCAAATTTTAGGTCAGCATTTGATGCCTACTACTGTAGCAAGACCATGCCAAAGGCAAGATAAAGCAAAGCCAGGCCTGTGGTGCTAAAAAAAGAAACTGCTTGAAAGCAGGCATTTCTGATGACCTTAAGAAATGTCAGCGGTCCAAAGGAAACCAAAAAATTAGCCTCCAAGCATCTTGGTCTCCAAGACACTAAAGATCAGAAGAGTGGAAAATACTTAAAAGTGCCTTTGGCTTCCCTCTGGTCAACTAGAAAATCATCCTCAAAGTTTTATCATTCTAAATTTGAGTTCTGATTGTCAATCATAGTAATCTGTTTTGTAGGTTTTGCACCACAATGGTAGGGTCAAGTAGTACCAACAGAGACCATATGTAGTTGCACCTGACTGTACAACCCACAAAGCCTAACTATCTGGCCCTTTATAGAAAAAGTGTGCTGACCTGATGGACTGAGCTATAGAGCCCAGTGTCAACACTACTGCCTCTAACTTTAGTCAAAAGATTGCCTCCCTGAAGCTTAATTTTTTTCTTGAAGCTTACTTTATAAAATGATGATATCTGTGACTCCTTAGAGACTCAAAGGAAAATGCTTTTCATTTCTTAAGAAAGTGACTTAAATCTAAGGTTAAATCATAGTCATGATATTTACCCTAATGAACATTCTTATATACCCCAATGGTGTTCACATGCATACAAGAGGACTTCAAAAAGTTTGTGGAAAAATGGAATTAAAGTAGAAGCTTTTTACAAGCCATCAGGCATGGTAGTTAAGGCACTGGACTCCCACATGGCTGACCGCAGTTCGAGCCCCAAAACTGGTGGCTTACTTTCTCACTCCCACGCCCTCTCAGTGAGTATGTGTGTCCTATAAACAATTTAAAAAAAAAAAATAATAGAGACCAGCAGATGGCATAA